GATGAGTCCTTGAAAGGGAGGCCCAAACAAGAAAAACAAAAGACGGTTGTGAGGCTGGGAAGAAATGCTTGACTTTAGAAGACTTGGAAAGAGGATTGAAGAAGAGCAAGGAGTCGCGGGTGGAGCTGTGTCTATCTGGGGATTGATCACAGACGGTGTCGGTTGGAGCCTTTGGGAATGGATGAAATTGCCGTAAAGTACTCAGAGGAAAGAAAACAGAGGGTCAGCCACAGTAACTAGGAGAGAAACACGGGGAAGGGGACAATCAGAAAAGAGGTCCAGTTTCATCAAGAATGAAGAGCACAGAAGAACGGGGGGGGGGGGCGGTGGCTGGCGTCCAAGAGTTGTAGGGAACAGCAGACGAGAACTCGAGAACTCGCTGTGTTTCTGAGTGTGCAGATGACCGCAGGGGACAGAGCTAGTGAGGTATGGAGGCAGAAGCCAGATTCCAGGGAAGCAGTGAGTGTTGATCTGACTGGAAAGTGTCTGGGAGAGAGAGAGTGCTTAGATTCCTTGTGATGCTTGGGTCTATGTGATCTCTCATTCTCACACAGATCACAAAGAACCAGGAGAAGGAGTTTGCCCTAGAGAGTCTAAAGCCAGAAAGACCAACTCAGTGTGACGTTTCCAAACCAGTGTCCAGGGTCGAAGGCCTGAAGAAGAGAGTGCACCTCTTAGGAATAAATCAGTTTGCAGTCGAAGATTGCTAGTTTGATAGTAGGTGTGTGTGTTACTATTTCCTAGGGCTGTTAGGAAAAATCCCTTCCTTTCTCGAGCTCCTACAAATCTTCCTCCTAAAATACCGAAGAATCTCTTCACTAGGGGAGTCCAGTGTCTTCCCTGCTTTGGACTCAGTGGCCCACGTTTGCAGGCGGGGGCTGAGTCTAATAGTCTCTCAGGAATCCTCCTTGTGCCTTTGTCCCTGTGTAGTTGAGTTTACCCCCCTGTTTGCCTTTCCATGATAAACCATAAAGCTGCTGAACCCAGCAACCATGCAGAAAGGTTACCCAGGCTGTCTAGCTAAAACTGGTGAACAGACCACCAATACCAGGAGCTTTTTGGGTGGAGCAGTTGAATATTCTTCTCCAGTGCCCCCACCCATGTGACTCCCAGGCTTTCCAGACCTCCCTCATCTTAAACACTGCCTTCCTTGCTCTGCACCCGAGGACTGAAAAGTCAGGCTCTGATAGTGAGCTGGGCTGGGTGGGGTCCTGAGTTCCAGGTCTGGCCTCCACAGCCAAAATCATAATGAAAGATGCAGCTGTCCTCAGATCCCTGTATAGAGAAAGGGCCACGCTCAGGTCCCACTGTTTTCTAAAGTCACTGAGTGTGTAGTAGCCCAAGTGGAGTCACGTTCATATTTTCTCTTCCTTTTCATTTTTGCTTATCTTTTTCAAGGCAGGTTTCCTCTGTGTAGCTCTGGCTGTCCTGGAACTCGCTCTGTAGACCAGGCTGGCCTCAAACTCAGAGATCCACCTGCCTCTGCCTCCCGAGTGCTGGGATTAAAAGCATGCCCCACCACTGCCCGGCCTGTTCACGTTTTCTAACCCATATGAAAAGGATTCCTTTTGGCTGCTCCTTTCAATCTACTGGTTTTGGTTCTCGGTAGAAGAAGTTTTCCGTTGAGGTTCTTTTCAACGCCTACATGCAAACTGAAGTGCACTCAGGCTTTGGGGGGACGTCACCCACAGCTGGAGCGACAGAGGCAGAGAGGAGGGCACCAGCTCCCGGTCACTCTTCTCTTAAAAGTGAAAAACAGCAAAACCAAAAACAACACCCAAGGAAGCAGATTCTATATGAAAACAGGAAAGATCCATCCAGGGAGGGAGGGAGGGAGGGAGGGAGGGAGGGAGGGAGGGAGGGAGAGAGAGAGAGAGAGAGAGAGAGAGAGAGAGAGAGAGATTAACTTCTTCCCCATAGGACAAGATTCGTAGGGTGACAAATGTGGCCTGTGTTGCGCTTGCTCTGCAGCCATTCATGGCTTCAGTCAGGAGGCTGTGAACCGTGACCTGTGGTGGGCCATGGGGCAGTGGCAGCCGTGGAACAGTGGCAGCCGTGGCCCTGGCAGTGGGGGTTAGGCTTTGTCTCGCTCTATTAAGCAAGCACAGTTAATATAGATGAAAGGTAGCCTTGATAGAAGTGAAAATTGAAACTGGGTGGAAGGTGGCCCGTGCAGCTGCTCTTGCTCTTCCTCCTGCAGCAGCGGGATCAACACTTCTGATGTGTTTTGGAAGGGATGTAGCTTTTAAAAATATCATCTTTTTTTTTTTTCAGAGTGTTTTGGGTTTTTACATCGACCCCGGTGAAGGAAGGGCGTGGAATAGATTTGTTAAACAGCCACTTAGCCTTTTTTTGATATGAGTGTATGGGGGCAAGAAACTAACTGATAGTTTAAGTTTAGTTTTTTTTGTTGTTGTTGTTGCTGCTTAAATTTTTATTTTGGGCTGGAGAGATGGCTCAGGGATTAAGAGCACTGACTGCTCTTCCAGAGGATCTGGGTCCAATTCCCAACACCCACATGGCAGCTAACAACTGACTGTAATTCTGGTTCCGGGGGACCCAACACCCATGACAAAACACCAGTGCACATAAAATATAAATAAATTATTTTATGTGTATAAATCTTTTTTGTATAAATGTTTTGACTGAAAGTCTGTTTGTGACCTCCCGTGTTCCTGTGGAAGTTAAAACAGGCCATCAGATCCTCTGGAACTGGGGTTATGGGAAGTTGTGAGCCACCATGTGATGCTGGGTACCAACCCGGGTCCTCCGTGAGAGCAGCCAGTGCTCTTAGCTGCTGAATCATCTCTCCGGCACTAGCGCAGTGTCTTCATCACACCTGTGCCAGGAACTGGCCGTGCAAAACCGGGAAAGTGGCTGAACGTGTTTCTGCTTCCCATCTGAGGAACAAGAAGCTTGGAGAAATTGATCTCTAAATTCTCTTTCATTTTCAATTCCATCGGCTTGTGTTTCTTTGTGGAGAAGTAAAGCTTCCAATGTCTAAAAACTCGGTGTTTGAAAGAAAAAGCGCTTACATAGCTTACAAATGCTGGTCTCATGAGGCAAGTTTTTTGGATTTTTCTCTTCTTGAGGTGGGGGCCAGGCTGACCTGTAACTCAGTGTAGGCTACACTGGCCTCAGACTCAGAGATCTGCCTGCCTCTGCATTCCAAGCGCTGGCATCAAAGCTGTATGATACCGCATCCTGCATGCCTTCTACGTGTCTTATGTTATTCTTTTTTTCAAAACATTTTTATAGTTTATTTAACTTTATCTTATGTGCATTGGTGTGAAGGTGTCAGATCCCCTGTAACTGGATCTTCAGACAGTTGTGAGCTGCCATGTGGGTGCTGGGAATTGAACCCGGGTCCATCTGGAAGAGCAGTCAGTGCTCTTAACCACTGAACCATCTCTCCAGCCCAACTTATGTTATTCTTAAAAGACTTGTAGAGGGCTTAGGCAGTGCCTCAGTTTACCACACATGTGTGTTCCCCTCACTCAGGAAGGCCTGAGCTTTAATCTCCAGCCCCCAAATGAAATGGCAGGTATGAACGGGCACCTGTAACCCGGCACTGAGGGGGTGAACACAAGAGGATCCTGGTGCTCACTAGCTGGCTAGTCAGACTAGCCTGATCACAGAACCTCAGGTCCAGCTGAGGGGGGGGGGGAGTCAAAAACCAAGGTGAACAGCTCTTGAGAAGTGACATCTGAGTTGATTTTGGCCTACACACCTGCATGCGCACACACAAATGTAGCATACCTTGAGAGGTCGCTGGGAAGGAATGCTGGCCTAGATTCTGAGTTCCAGCCCTCTGTCTGTACCCATCTGCAAAAAAAAAAAAAAAAAAACAAGTGTAGCAGCCATTTAAAGAATGGTACTTAGAGCCGGGCGATGATGGTGCACGCCTTTAATCCCAGCACTCGGGAGGCAGAGACAGGCGGATCTCTGTGAGTTCGAGACCAGCCTGGTCTACAGAGCTAGTTCCAGGACAGGCTCCAAAGCCACAGAGAAACCCTGTCTCGAAAAACCAAAAAAAAAAAAAAAAAAAAAAAAAAAAAAAAAGAATGATACTTAGACCAGGCAGTGGTGGCACACGTCTTTAATCCCAGCACTCGGGAGGCAGAGACAGGTGAATCTCTGTGAGTTCAAGCCCATCCTGATCTACAAAACAAGTTCCAGGACAGCCAGGGCTACGCAGAGAAACCTTGTCTTGAAACACTCCGACATACTTGGACCAGTCCCTCTTCTCAAGCCCAGTCCTATAATCCTAAACTGATCTAGGAGCTTGAGCTTAGCCCTACTTAGATTAGGTCTAGCTATCTCTTCCCCTAACTGGGTTGGACCCAGCTGACCCCCATCCATGGAAGCTGGAACTAATCCTCAGGAGGAAGGAAAGCATCCTTCTGTCCTTCCCAGCTCTGTTCACTAACACAAGCGCTTCCTCTGCTCACAGTGCTGGCTCTGCCGCTTCCAAGACCGAGGAAGAGTTTTTCCCTCAGTTCCCCAGGAAGGAAAGGCAAAACATGGCTTCCACTCTCCCCCTCTCAATCTTAGCGCCTTGCCCGGAGGCCTTCGTAGCATCAAAGTGATATTTTCGTCTCGAAACCAAAGAGCTTGTCCCATTGTCTTTTTAGCTGCAGCCACCAAGAAAGATCTGAAACTGTTTCTTCTCTCCAAGAACCAGGGACAGGCTGTTCAAACTGTTTGTTTCATGGTCTCTTTGGATAATCACAGTTAAAACTAGTTAGCTCTAATCTTCTGGATGGCCTAGGACACTGCCGTGTGTGTGTGTGTGTGTGTGTGTGTGTGTGTGTGTGTGTCTAACTGTGGTTCTGAATTCTAATAATGAGTGATCACCCTCTGGGACTCTCTTGCTTTGTATGTACACAGTGTTCCGAGCTTCCTCTGTATTTATTCGTCAACTGTGGGCCTCTTTTCTGAGCGGCTTCACAGCCTCGAATACAGTCATTGTTCATTTCTCGCATGCATGTCCCCTGCAGAAGACGCCATGAAAGTGAAAGATGAAGACAGCGAAAGAGACGAGAGCGTGTTGAAGCCGGAGCCCCTGGGGAATGCGGAAGAGAGCGAAATTCCTTACAGCTACGCGAGAGACTATAACGAATATGAAAACATTAAGCTGGAGAGACACGCTCCTCCGTACGACGGCGGCAGGCCGACCGGTGGGAAGATGAACTGCGATGTGTGCGGGTTATCCTGCATCAGCTTCAATGTCTTGATGGTGCATAAGCGAAGCCATACTGGTAAATAGTCTCCTCTTTCAGTTCTCAGAACTGTCCGTGTGCGGCCGCGGGAGGGACAAAGCGGCGGAGTTTGGGTCTTTCTTTGGCTTCCTCTGGTACTTTCTGCTATAGTGTTGATGTTTCTCTCGCTCGCTTTTTGCACTGCCGTTTTACCCAGGGACCCTCGTTTCTGCTTCATCATGCATTTGGCAAACACTGAAAATACTACGAATAAGAGACTAACAAAGGCCTGATGGGGTGGCGCACGCCTTGACCCCAGCTCTGGGGAGGCAGAGGCAGGTGGATCTCTGAGTTCGAGGCCAGCCTGGTCTACATATGAGTTCCAGGGCAGTCAGTGCTGCAAAGTGAGACCTGGGGGGGAGAGAGAGAGGAGGTGGGGCAAGAGAGAGAAGGAGAGAGAGAGGCTGACCAATGAAAATAGCCACCGAGGTTAGCTGAATAACTCTCCTTCAGTTAGTGAGCAGGAGTTGGAAAAATCTTCCAAGTGTTTTGACACGGCACATCCGTGAAAGCGGGTGCCCTTACTGTGTTGGGTTCAGGTCTGATGGATAAAGGGATATGGGTTTTATTGTCAGTTTTAAATACATCTTCATGCGGTAAACAAGGAGTCCATAGGAAGGCCTAGGAACGAGTCACACTGAGTCTGTAGCCCTCATCTGGTGCAGGGACTCCAGAGTGAAAGACTGGGCCTTGACACCTTACATCTTGCATCTAAGCGCGTCTCAATGGCTCGATTCCATCACTCAGGAGACTGAAACAGGAGGACCATCATGAGTTCCATGCCATCCTTGGGTACAGAGGAATAGCCCTGCCAAAAAAGAAAAGATTAAAACCACCAAACGAAACAACGACCTTAGTCCCAGCACTCAGGAGGCAGAGGCAGGCAGATCTCTGTGCATTTGGGGCCAACCTGGTCTACAGAGAGAGTTCCAGGCTAGGGCTACATAGTGAGGTCCTATCACAAAAATACAAGAAGGCTTGACTTTCTGAGCCCTTCTTCAAAGGCGACTGCATTCAGATGCCAAGAAGCAGAAAAACCTCTAGGCAGCTCCCAAGGCTGCTGTGTCCCCTGGCTCTGACTCAGAGCAAGATCACCAGACTAGCTGTCCTAAGTGGGAGTGTTTGTTCTGCAAGGAAGAGGATCCCACAAGTCTCTGCACCTCAGAATGTAGTTCCCAAGCGACCTCTCAGAGAGGGCAGAACCGCCCAAGAGATGGGCTTTCGCCATGGGCGTCTAATCTGGGCACATGCTTTTCCACTGGCCTTGTGATGAGAGTTCTCCTTTTCCGTCCTCCCTGAAGGTGAACGCCCGTTCCAGTGTAATCAGTGCGGGGCATCTTTTACTCAGAAAGGTAACCTCCTCCGCCACATTAAGCTGCACACAGGGGAAAAACCTTTTAAGTGTCACCTCTGCAACTACGCATGCCAAAGGAGAGATGCGCTCACGGGACACCTTAGGACACACTCTGGTAAGTGAGGGACACAAGCGTTCCACATCTACTGGCTGTGGAAATGAGAGAGAGTTCCAGTCTGTCGCTCGCCCTCTGAAGGCTCGCCCTCTGAAGGGTTCTATCCGCAGAGACCTCTAGGGCTAACCGCCCTTCCCTTAAGGCATTAATTGCTCTCTGTCTGCCTCGGGGGAAACCATCTCCGGCATCCTTGTGTCTGGAGAATAGCAGACAAATCACAATGTCCTCGTAATTTTTGTGAAAAAAAAATCGTGGCCATCAATATTTTTATGGTAATACAAATATTGTATTTTATTTCTTAATACGCACACACCCTTTTTCCAGTTTTCCATTCACAAAACTACACGAGCAAATTATGTTTAGTTGGTAAATTATTAAAATGTGTAAAGCAGGGGTCTGAAGAGGTGGCTCAGAGGTTGAGAGCAAGTATTGTTCTTCCAGGAGATAAGGGTTTCATTGTTGGCACCCACACCCATTGCCTCACAGCCAACATCAACTCCATCTCCAGGAGAGCGAGCGGATGCCTCTGGTCCCCACATGTACAATATCACATGAATTAAAATAATAAAAATGAAAAAAAATGTAAATCAGACATAAATTTTTATTAGAGGTTCCTTTTGGTTGTTTTGGGATACATTTCTTATTCATTTTTGTTTGTTTGGTTGGTTTTGTTGTTATTGCTTTGTTTTTATTTTTGTTTTTGAGATGGGTCCCTACTTTGCAGTCCTGGTTGAACTGGAATTCACTATGTGTACCAGGGTAGCCTCACAGTTGAGCCGCCTTCCTGCCTTTACCTCTTGTGTGCTATAATTACAGGCATGTGCCACTTTACCCAGCTTCTCGCTAAGTTTCCTAACCCCAACTTTCCCCTTCCTCGCCCCACTTATTTTTAAGCCCTAAGAGCAACAACAAGAATTCTTAAAAAGCCACCTGCTGCCTCGGTCTTTTCAATCCTTATTTTAAACAAGCAAGGTGACACTTTTTTTTTTAACATTTAGAATTTCCCTCTTAGAAAAATAAGGCGAATCTTATTTTCAAAATTGGAACCTCGTGTTCTTGATGTTATCTGGCAAATGTTTTAATTTAAGAAGAGAGAGAGGGAGAGAGAGGTTTGTTTTTATGTCAGTCCACATTACTGCTTTGACTAAAGCCCAGTCTCAGAACTACTCACGATTCAGAGTAAGGTTAAACAAGCCGACCTCAGCAAAACCCACGAGAGATCACATGTGGCAGAGAGGGGTTTTCTTTCTCTCTCTTTCTCTCTCTCTCTCTCTTTCTCATTTGTCAGTGTAACAAAATAGTGACGGGTTTGATGGAAAGAAAGAAAAAGAAGATTCTCTCCTGCCCTTTTCAAGCAAAGTGCTGATAAGTCTTTTGAGTCAAATGCCAGAGCACCCAAGTTATACATAAATAAAAAATGTTTAGCCTTGGAAAACCTGTGATTTAGTTTGGTCTGGGGTTTCATAAGGATCTTCTGAGGGTGCTTTTACTCCCAAAGCATGAAGAATTGAAAAATAAAACATTTCATGATGAAGCCGGAGGGCTCACACTTTTTAGCTTGAGTTTTATCAAAAGATACGGGCAACTTGTGAGGAAAACTACTTTTGATTTGTTTTAGAAAATTAGTTGAAGTCATTTTTGCAATTAGTTCTTTTTGATCATTTTTTTTTTCAGACAGGGTCTCGCTATGTAGCAGTGGCAGTCCTGGAACTCACTCTGTAGACCAGGCTGGCCTTGAACTCACAGAGATCCCCCTGCCTCTGCACCCAGAGTGCTGGGATTAAATGCTTGTTCAGCTAGGCCTGGCTACTGCAACTCATTCTTAATTCTGTTATTAAGATGTTCTTTGTTAATCAGCCCTGTCTTTGGCCACGCTTGTTTAAAGCCATTTTACAAGAACAGCCCACACACTCCAAACACGTCTAGCCCAACCCTAACGCCCATGGACCACCTTATTCCTTACCTATAGTTAGATGGATATCACAGAGTAGGAAGGATGCCCTCCTATTCCTGTTAATTTTATGTGAATGAGCATTTTCCCTTGCATACATTAGTCCAAGGAAGTCAAAGGAGGGCATCAGGGCCCCTGGAATTAGATTCAGTATGGATGGTGGCGAGCTGCCCTGTGGGTGCTGCGAACCAAGCCCAGCGCCTCTGCAAGAGCAGAGTGCTCTAACCATCAGGCGACCTCTCCAGCCCCAGTAGTTAAGTGATCTTAACTGCTGAACCATTGTTCCAGGTCCCAAATAATTTTCTTGGTTTTGGTTTTTAGATAGGGTTTCGCTATGTACATCAGCCTGGCCTCAAACTCACAAAGAACATCCTGCCTATGCTGGGATTAAAGGCGTGTGTCACCACACCTGGACCCATTTCACTCTTACCCCACACTACCCTTCCTCCTTGAAGAATAAAGGATTCTTGTCTGTCTGTCTGTCTGTCTATCTATCTATCTATCTATCTATCTATCTATCTATCTATCTATCTATGTGTGTGTCTCTGTCTCTCTCTCCTCTCTCTCTCTCAGGCTTTCTTTTTAACTCTAGATCCCCTAGGGCTGGCGTTACAGCCAGTATGAACCACCCCATTTGGGTGCTGGGAACCAAAGTTCAGTCCTCTGGAAGAGCAACCAGTATCCTTCAGTGCTGAGCCATCTCTCCAGTCCTGGGACCTGCTTTGGTTAACGGAAAAGAAGCAAGGTTTAACCCACAGCCAAACACTAAGAAAAGCAACCGTTACCCACTGCAGACTCATCCATCTGCGATAGGACGCCATCCTTTTAATACACTGGTGGAAGAGCCCCTCCTAGACCATAGTCCTGTTTCAGCTTAGCAGATTTGACAGTGACACAGACTTGGAGGCGTGGGTCTGGCTGGGCCAGCAGCCTCATCCCTAGAGGCCAGTGCCTTCTCAGAGCTGGGTTCTCGGTGTGTGGGGTCCCTGAGTGCTCTGTGTCTTCCTTCCAGTGGAGAAACCCTACAAGTGTGAATTCTGCGGAAGGAGCTACAAGCAGAGAAGCTCCCTGGAGGAGCACAAGGAGCGATGCCGTACGTTTCTTCAGAACTCCGACCTGGGGGACGCCAGTAAGTTCCACGGGGCCCATTCCCCCCACTTGTCAGTGAGCCTTTGCCCTCCTAGGCGGTGGAGCAGGTTATAGATAGACAGAGCGAATGAGCAAGGAGAGATGGGAAGTGTTGTGGAGAGAAACAGAGCAGGAAGTGCAGGGTAAGGGTGCCATCGGGAAGGTGTCCACCAGGTAATGTTCTGGTGGACTTGAAGGCGTGGTAGCGAGCCCCACAGATCACTGGTGATCAATACGTGCGAAGGTCCTGATGCTGCAACTTAAAGAGATGGAAATGTAGGCTCGTGTGCCTGGGACAGAATGAGCAAAGGGATACGAAGCCAGAGGGGAAAGGGGAAAACTAGATCTTATCAGGCCTCGGAGGCCATCGTAAAGCCCTTTGAGCAAAACTGAAAATCTTTGAGCCCAGACAGGTGACATCATCGGACTTCTCATTCGTAAGCCGCCACCCTGTTTTGTTCCTGAGAATAGACTGCCTTTTGGACAAGCTAGATAGATCTTGGGGAATCCAGCTGGGAGTCTGTGGCAAGAATTCGAGCCAAAGGGAACTGTGTCTTGGCAGTGGTGGGAGTTAGGGTGTTCTGACTCAAAGGCAGAGCCAGCAGGCTTTCCTGGCTATGGTGATCTCAAAGGTGATGGAGGCTGGGGACTGGTTAGGGAGGAATCAGGAACATGCTCAAGGATTTTCTCCGCACAGGGCCCAGTGGTGATGTCCTGGTCTGCCCATGGGACTTGCTATGATGTTTGTACTTGGCTTCGAGGGGTTTCCTATTTTCCCCAGGGATTTGAACTGTATAGCTTCTGGCCCCAGATTTTAACACCGTGTGTGTCCTCCTCCATGTCCAGTGTGGTCCTTATTTCTTTCTCATCCTTTCGTTGAGTCAGCCTAAAGCGTTTCTCAAATGGCGTCTCTGGCAGTCAACCTTCGTTCAACCCATTTGACCCTTAACCCGGTTCTTCAGCTTGGGGTGGGGACTTGGTTCCTAGAGCCAAGTCCCTGTGGAGAACGGGAGGGATCCTCGTGGGCATTGGTCTTTGACTGCAGTAACTGCGCTGGGACATTCTGAGCAGCCTAAAGCAGATGATTACAGAGGGTGTCAGAGCGGTGTGAGCATTACGAAAAGCAGAGTGGAAATCCTGAGTGTTCACCCCACGGAGTGGAAAGAAACTTGGGCTTTAGATCAAGGCCGCTTCCTGGTTTAGAGGCTGGCCAACCGAAGCCCGTGGGTCTTTGCTTGCTTCTACCTTTTATCCTGACGGCATCTCGAGTTTTATCAAAGGTTCTTATTCCTCCTTGTTTCTAAAGAATGCCACTTGCTTACCTTAAGAAAAACAACGGCGGCTGGTGTTTGCCATCTTAAGTGGCATGCTGAGTTGTGAGTTAGTGTTTGCCCATAAAAGAAACATCTATTCCTACCTTCTCCCTTTGGAGGTGGGAAAACAAAGACTTGTCAAAATCCAGTGACTAACTTAAAAATGATTAGCACCTCTCGAAAATCCAAAAAAAAAATGACTAGCGCTTTAGTTTGCTTGTTTAGTTGGGTTTATGTGTGCACGCAGGCATGCATGTGTACATGCGCACACACGTGCACACACATGTGCACACATGCATTTGTCTGGCAGTGTTTTTTATTTTTTATTATTTTTTAAACCACGTTTTTTAAAAATTCATTTTACATTCCAACCACAGTTCTCTCTCCCATTCCACCTCCTGCTCCCTGTATTTTTTATTTTTAAAATCAATTCATACTCTATAACAGCCAGGTGTGGTGGCACATCCTTTCATCTCAGCAATAGGAGGCAGAGGCAGGGGGATGACTGAATTTGAAGCCAGCCTGGTCTACAGAGTGAGTTCCAGAACAGCCAGAGCTACGTGTAGAGACTCTTTCCCAAAAAACAACAAAGACTACAGTAAGAAATAAATAAAACTGGCAACCATCATCATTGTCTAATTCCAGAACGTTTGCCACTCCCAAGAGAGACGCCCCGCCTACCACCTCCATTTTCCTGCCTCCTGTGACTGGCAACAGCTCCCCTACTTTGGTTCTCTGCTGATTTCCTTGTACCAGATAATGTCACATAAGTGCAGTCACACAAGGGGAGCCTTTTGAGTCTACTTCTTCTAACAGACATACGGTTTTTGGTTTCAGCCATGTTGAAACTGTTCTCGTGCAGTTCACGTATGGACTGACCAGTGTGCTTTCCCAGGCATCGGTTCATCGGTGGGGGATTTTCTTTCCATCTTGGGAAATAATAAACTATATTTTAACAGTTATATATTACTTGGACAGCAAGAGAAATATGCAACATATATTGAAGAGACACACACGTGTGTGTGTGGTGTGTGTGGTGTGGGGGTCGGTGTGGGGTGGTGGGGTGTGTGTGTGCTGTGTGTGCTTGTGGTGTGTGTGTGGTGTATGTGTGCCGGGGTGTGGGGTGTGGGTGTGTGGTATATGTGTGTGGGGGTGTGTATGTGGTATGTGTGTTGTGTTTGTGTGTGTGTGTGTGTATATATATATATATGTGGTGCATGTGTGTATGTGTGTGGGGTGTATGTGTGTGGTGTGTGTGTGTGTGTATGTGTGGTGTGTGTGTGTGTGTGTGTGTGTGTGGTGTCTTGATTCTCCTGGAAATAGGAATAAGGGAATCAGTGATTCTACACCATATGCAATAATAAAATGATGATTTTTGAAGTAACCCCATGCCATTTTAGGAATTTGAAGTTTAAAAAGTTATCAGAAGTTTTAGGCTGTTGAGAGTGCTGGGGCAGGAGGCATTGAGCTGCCGACAAAGCTAATTTGCATCCATAGGGCTGTTTGATGGATGCGTGCAACAGAATTTAAGTCTCAGCAAAAAGTCAAGGGTTAACCAAGTCAGCAAATTTGATTGCTTTTTTTTTTCTTTTCTTTTTTTCCGAGATAGAGCCTCTCTATGTAGCTCTGACTGACCTGAACCTTCTGCTATGTGTGCGACCTGCCTGGCTTTGATTTCTTTTTTCTTTCTTTCTTTCTTTCTTTCTTTCTTTCTTTCTTTCTTTCTTTCTTTCTTTCTTTCTTTCTTTCTTTCTTTCTGACAAGTATGCCATAGTTGTGGTTTTAGGTTACAAAATGGGTAAAGTCACAGCTCAATCAAGTATAAATACCACATGCCTGTTCTATGTTTCTGGGTCTCTTGGGTTTTAAATAATGCCTACACATTTTTTCCAGGATCCAAATGTAAAGACCTTTTGTTCTAGCTCGAGCCCCTCCTTCACGGGCACCATTCCTTCTGTGGTTTCCATGTCTGTTTCCTTCCTGTAACTAGGAGTCCAGTATGGATGGATACAGTGTTCTATTCCAAGCCTGACCAATGCAGTAATGTTCCCTTAAACTTGAACTTCTGGTTTCTGCCTCCACCTCTCTCCACAGTGGAATTGCAAGCATGTGCCTCCAATGCTCGGTTTGATGCGATACTGGGAATAGAACCTAGGACTTTGTGCAGACTAGGTACTCAAGCAGCTATTTCTACTTATTTCCAGCCCCAGGGCAGTACATCCTAAATCTTTATTCCTCGTGTCACTTCTAAAACGCTATTTCAGGGCTCCCGTGTGTGGGCACTCACGCAGCAAGTGCGTGTTTAAATCAAAACCCAGCTGGATGTGGCAGCAGGAGGCTGAGGCGGGAGGGTAGGGTAGCAAGACCCTGGCTCTAAAGAAAGAAAAGCAAGTTAAGCTGTGGTGTAGTGTGAGAGCCAGCGGGGGACAGAGCTGTCTGTCCTGGAGAGCAGGCCTCTCTGGAAGGGGATTGATGAAAGGTCTTTGAGAAAAGACCAGCCTCTGAAAGAACAACAGTGTGCAGAGACAGGACTTCTGTCTTGCTGGTCCTTGCTTTTACTCAGACACAGCTGATTCGGTTCTGTATCATGACCTGTTTGCAAAGATGAGGAAAAGCTAAGCCCCTACCCCTGAAGAACACACAGAGCATTGAGGCACTGGGCTGATAATGGAGACATATGAGTTATTGCAAGTTGAGTTTAAGTCTCTACAGCAGATGCCTTGCAAGAGGGACGTCGTTGCAATATTCCCGCTGCCCAGTGGTGTACAGATGGCCAGAAGGAACGGCAGATGACCATGGCATTCATCTTCTTGATCTTTTTGATGTTACTGTGGCCTCATTTCACACAACTTATACTTGTAGCCAAAGCTTTCGTGAATAATCATGAGTTCTAGCAATAATAAGACGTTTTGTTGGCATCGCTGAAGCTCAAACCCAGGGCCTTGCACATTCTAGACCAGCACTCTGCCGCTGATAATAGCATTTATAAAGTAAGTGACTAAAACCAGAGGTGATGACATATACCTTGAATCCCAGCACTCGGGAGGCAGAGGCAGGGGATCTCTTGTGAGTTCAAAGTCAGCCTGGTCTACAGGGTAGACTCTACATAGACAGTTCCAGGGCTACGGGAACATAGAGAGATCCTGTCAAAAAGAAAAAGCCCTAAGCGGATGGTTGATGATGTTTAGTTGTGAGTCTGGGAGTTCATTTTTTTTTCTCCTTTCTCATTGCTTCAGTGGAGCCAATACAAGGGTTTCAGGATGAAATCATATTTTATCATGTAGCTCCACCTTTTCTTCTAAGAGTTAAAAAAAAAAAAACCAACACCAAGTCTGTATTCCTAACAGTCTCATTTGACTTGCTCCACAGGGCAACAGTTACATGTAGCTTTTTTGTTTGAACCTGCCTTGTCTTTGATAGCAATCTGTTGTTAGACAATCTCCTTGCACAATGACTCCACTTTGTTCCTGTCTCCATTAGCTGCTGACCACACCATAGAAGAGACCGGATGCAATGGCTGCTTTTAGCTCCATTTAACTCTTCGAGCCCTGATGAAGGATTTTGCAAAAAACAAAAGCAGACCATGAACACATAGTCAAAGCTACAATTACTTTCAGGTTTAACAATGTATCACGGAAGCAGTTAACAGTTAAGGCTTGTGCAGGGATTAAAGGCAATTTATTTTTGTAATTGGGGTTATCATGACATTTTATTATTTTTTCAACGTCTCTAAGATCCGTTGCTAATAAAAATTGACCCTTACCTACTCCATAGTAGACAAACGATGTGGAGGGAAATTGGATCAAGAATTGCAGCCCTGCCCCTGTGCCCACTCAGGTACCAAATGTATCAATGTCCACCTTCCCAGACCCCCGCCCCCACCCCGCAACACTAAACTGCCGAACACCACCTAGGAACGGATTTCCTGTTGCATCATTTAGACCCATTATCTTATTCCCTTGCCACCTTGCCAAACTCGTTTTCTTCCACTTACGTTTGTGGGACTCCTTGTAGCAAGTCTAGACTGCCTGAGTGGACAGTTGAGTCCTAAAGGCGAGGGAGGACCAGAAGTCAGAAGGCCTTCCTCCCCTTTCGTCTTAAACAATCCCCGAGCTCAGCTAACTCCGACAACTGACTTGGTGTTTAAAAGATGCCCGTTCAGTGGTTTTGTCCATCCACCGTCTGGCGGTTCAGAGGTAAAAAGACACGAAGTCTAGGGAAGAAAGTGGACCCCATTTTGTTGCCTGTTAGCCTTTGTCCATTCCAGTTAAGTCTGTGAAGGGGAACTCAGGCCCTGGGGTGTGCTCCCGTGGTTGGGAGTGTCAGTGTCCTGCCTGACAGCTCTGGGAAGGGTGCCGTGGGCGAGCGCTCTCTCGGTTTCTCACAGGAGGCCTTTCCCTCTGAGCAGAGCTGTGGAAGTGGGAAAGCCTTCACTTGTGCCCCCAGATTATCTTTTCACCCACGAACACTCCAGAACGTTCCTCTCTTAAATGTCAACCATTTGGCCACTGATTGACACGGTGAGAGTTATCTGGAAATGACTGCCAAGACCAGCTTGGTGGGTAACCAGGAATGAGGAGGGTGATGTTATCTCAGAAGGCTGCCATTTAGTGACATGCCCTAATTACAGTTATTTAGGTCAATGTGTCCATGCCTCAGCATCCTCCCAAACACAGAGGATGTCGTCGCGTGTGCCCACAAAACTGCTGCCGCTGCTGCTGGGGACTCTGGTGAAACATGAACAATGACTCCTAAGACATAAGTGGGAAACTGAGGCGTCATGCTTAGGGTGGGTCCCAGGTCATGATTTGGCCATGAGGGGAAGAACTAAAAGGGACCAAACACAGTGGTGAAGGGTGCTCAAAAGTAAAAATTCCCCAAGTATTTGTTATCCTCATTTCAACCTAAATCATTTCCATAACAGATACAGGCCTGGTGCCTCTGATCCTCTCATAATGCTCCTAGAGTACACATGGCTACCTTTACCCTACTTCTAAGAAAAAGGAACAGCAACAACAATAACAAAGCAGTAATCCCTTGTGTTGGAAACTGACTTCAACTTCCAGGCCGTCTTTCATCTCTCTGCTCAAGGGACTTTGGCTAGTGCCACATCTGGCGGTGGTTTGTGTGCAAGGAAATAATACGCATGATCATTTCCTGTTTGGTCATTGTAACCTGTCCCTGGACTGAGCAGAATTTGACCCCCTTCACTCCATAGCAGCGTCCTGTCACCAAGTGCCTAAGTCCAAGGACTTTACCAAGTCTGAAAGCTGCCTAGGCCCCTGGTCCTGAGCGTAATCTTCTCATTTAGGTAAATCGGTGTTGACAGCTGGAGCAGATGTGGGGATAGGTTTCTTCAGAGTTATTGTTGACAAGAGCCCACGTCAAGTGATGTGGCGTTGCCAATATACTTGTTTTTTCACTTTTGGAGACAGGTTTCCTTTATGAGTGATTTTTAAAAACCACACAAAGCTCTGCATTGTATAACACCCGAAACAGAGTTCTTCTGGTGATGGGAAGAAAGTGGAAAACAATTAAGACTTGAAATGATCATTTTCTAATCTGGCATTGGCGCTCTCCGGTCCAGCCTCTCTTGCCCTGGAGATCTTTCCGGGTCATTCATCCCTTGCAAAGGTAGCCAGTGTCCCTTTCTTCGGGACATGTGTCTCACAAACCATGGAATGTGTGATAATTCTGTATATTGGAATCTCTTCACATGGCAAATACCTCAGACTCCTTTCAGGACAAGAGTAGACAGTTCCCAAACCTGTGTGGGCACTGAGCTAGGGAATATCTCATTCTGCAGATATCAGTTTTACCTTTTTAACTCTAGTCCCTTAAAAAAAAGTAGATTTTTTTTTCCTTAGACACATTAGAAATGTATGACCTTCTAGTTTAGACTTTCGGAAGTGCTCAGACGAAACAGAGATATAATGTCTCAATATGTTTGCTTGGGCGGGGTGGATGCACCATGGCCCTGGGGTCAAGGGCAGCCATCAGTCTGTTTGTATACAGGGTTTTTACTGTTTACTTATTTATTGTGTATGTGTGGTCTACGGAGGTGTCCACGTTTGTGTGTGTCTAGGTGTGCCTGGAGGCCAGAAGTCGATTTTGAATGTCTTTCTCAATCACTGTCCACCTTAGTTCTTGAAGCAGAGTCTCTCACTGAGCCTGGGCCTTGCCCATGAAAAGCTAGAATGCCTGGCTAGTGCCTGCTGTTGCTGCTTCCCCGGTGCTGGGATTACAGGCTTGGGCTCTTTAGGTGGGTCCTGGGGATCCAAATCCAGGTTCTTATATAGCAAGCATGTCACAGGCTGAGACATCTCTCTGGTCCAGTTTTTACATTTTAGCAGAGATGTGGAGCAGAGAACACTAATATAGAAAGGGGCTGTGCATCCCACAGATTTAAAAATAGTTGCCGCCAACATGAATGTAGTGCAGGTGTGTAATCCCAGGACTTGAGGTTTGGGGCCAGCCTTGGAGCTGTGAAACAGAAAGACCCTGCCTCAAAAGTAGTAATGATTGCAAATGGTCACACACAGTGTTTACTCTTTGCTCTTTCTACAGAAATTCTTTACTGGTCCTTGATTCCAGCATTATAAAGTTTTGGGCCTTCTGTTTATAGCAGCTAGTGCGTTCTAACTTTTTAGACGTGGTGTCTCGTTGGTTACCGCTGGCTGCTCCAGAGTAAATTACATTTGTTCTGCTTTACTATTTAAGCGTATTGGCGTTATTTTTATATTCATCTAGTGCACTGAAATTCTGGCTGCTCCCCCTCCCCAGTCTCACATGGTAGCCTAGGGTGGCCTGCAACTCATTGTGTAACCCAGGCTAGTCTCAAACTCATGGCCATCCTCTTGCCTCAGTCTCCCAAGGATTGGAACTATAAGCATGAGCCTCGTCGTCCTGTTATGGCTGCCTTTAAAAATCATCCGGGGAACTTGGAAAGCATGCTTGTCCTGGCCCCACCGCAGAGTGAAGGGGAAGCTGCCTGTGGATATCTAAGCGTGTACCAGGCAATCAGACTGGACTAATTCACAGCCAGGTCTGAGAACTCCAGCCCGTGCCACTCAGATGTCTGTCTGTGGGTCCATAACCAATGCACACTCTCGGGCAGTTCCTATTGTCATTTTTTTTTCATTAGGAATACAATAGAAACGCAGTATACAGATTGCCCGTTAATTTTCAGACAACAGTATGGCTGAGGGACACGGTAATGGAAACAATTTTGAGATGTGTGGAGAACTTATGAAGCAACACACGGAACCCAGAGAAACGGAATTTGAAAGATAAGAACTGAGAGAAACGTAGTGAAGAAAAAAAAATGACTCAGTATTTCAATACCCAAATCACTGGGTAGATTTCTTGCTATCTGGGCGAGTGTATCTATTTTCAAAAGTCTATTACCATAGCCAGAGCGGTGAATCTGGGGCACCGTGCCTTTTTTTTTTTTTCAAAGTTGTTAAGAAGAATTATATCAGCGTGCAGGTGTCACATGCAGTTACTCAGAATCAGAAAGGAGCTGCCGGGGGTGAAAGGGCCTCCATCTATCTATCTCTTTGCAACCAACCACGTCCAAGCTGTTTCTTCAATACTTCCTCTTGCTAGTTAAGGTACTAGCTGGGGATGGGTCGGGCTTTCCCGTCTCAGCATAAGACTGCAAGATTTGAATGTGCCCCAGAATCGGTCTCACTGACCACAGCAGGTACCCAGGGCAGGAAACCAAGCAGGACCCACAGGTAATGACAGCCCCGTGCATCAGCCCCCCAACCCCTTCCCCATTCTCCCCATGTACCAATGTATTCCTCTCCCTCTTCTTCCAAACCAGCAAGTGTGGAGGCAAGACACATCAAAGCCGAGATGGGAAGTGAAAGAGCGCTCGTTCTGGACAGATTAGCAAGCAATGTGGCAAAACGGAAAAGCTCAATGCCTCAGAAATTCATTGGTAAGGATGCACGGCCCTTTCTTGCTGCCGCCAGCAGATAACTTGACTGAGATAACATGGGGATGTTTTTACCGCACTTGCCTCTCCTAGTGCTGTTAAAAACGGGTTTCCATTGTGTTCTTATTGGCTGTGGTTGGTTCGTTTTGATGGCTCTAGTATATAGAATTAAAAATATTATCTGAGGAGTCTTAGCTACAAAGCAGGGGAACATTTGGTATTGTTTCTTAGATGGAGTTGGTGTTAAAGATGCTGTTCCTTCCTCTTCCCTCTGAATGACATCTGTTGCATAGATTTATGCAACTTGCACCAGTAAAATGTTCAAGATAGCATCTTGGTAAAATTTTGTAATGATATGTTACAAGTTGGTTCTGTTAGCATGCTCTAACTTTTTTTTTTAATGTTCTAAAACTTATCGCCATATTTTCTTGAATTTGATTGAGAGCTCGCTTTAGCAGAAAGTGATTGGAGAAAAACGTGGACTTAAATCACTCAATTTGAATTGATCGCTTGTCTTACTGAAGTTAGTTTTTATGTCGTCGGTTTTCACATTGTCAGAAGCCACTGCAGACCGAGATGACTAAGAGGCAGTTACGTCCATTTAAGTGTTGGGGACTTGCAAATGGTGGGGCTATTTCATGATTGCCCAGATGTTTGCACACTCGTGACCACAGTATTAAAATAGATCTGGAGTTGCAAGCAGCTTAGGTGAATGTGTCAGTTTTATTATTAAATTGGATGCTGGCGGTGTTGAGCAAAAATAGTTATCACGTGAATAAAACTCTTCCTCGGCACTAATAACATTTGTCAATATCTCTTTGTAAAACTGCTTGCTGCTCTGGAGTCTGTCTTCTTGTATTTATTCTTCTTAGTAGCTTTTCTACATCCCAATTGCCTGTCTGCTTTTGACTCTGAGATTATTCCGGTATAGGAAGCACTTTATAAGTAGACATTCAGTTGAATTCTATGTTGAAAGAATCCATAGATTTTGAAATTACTGAAGTTGGTATTTCTGCTTATCTATTTTGCTGTTACTAGTTGGTTATCTTTTGCATGCTTTTAGTCACTTCAAGAATAAATTGTAGCACGTGTCTTTAATCGCAGCACTCACAAGACAGAGACGGGTAGATCTCTGTGAGTTTGAGACCACTCTGGTCCACATAGTGAGTTCCAGGCTAGCCGGGGCCATAGAGAGAGACTCTGTCTCCAAAAGTAAAGCATGTGATATATGAATAAAATGTAATCCAAGGATATGGTGGATTATTCCTACATCCCTAACACTTGGGAGGTAAAGGCCAGAGGATCAGGAGTTCTAGGCTATAAACACTGTATAGTAAGTTTGGGGCCAGCCTGGGCTATATGAGAGACCCTATCTTAAAAGAAAGGAAGGAAGGAAGGAAGGAAGGAAGGAAGGAAGGAAGGAAGGAAGGAAGGAAGGAAGGAAGAAAAGAAAAGAAAGAAAGAAAGAAAGAAAGAAAGAAAGAAAGAAAGAAAGAAAGAAAGAAAGAAAGAAAGAAAGAATCTGTCCGTTAGTGAACCCATCCCTAAATCATGTCAGACTGAAGTTGGTGTGTTTCAGTTTAAGGAGCTTCCCTTCTCTACTCTTTTTACCTCCCCTTGAGGAGACACATCAAGGGGTCATGTGGTGACTTCCACAGACAGTCTATGCCCAGCAGATCAGTCAGGATGCCAAGGCATTACCTGTGTACCTTTGGACCTTGCTTGTGTGAGTGGACACTGATGAATTCAGAAGAAAGCCGGGGTTATCCGACTCTACAAGGGAATCTTAGCTGGAGGACTGTTTAGACTCTAGAAATGGCCGAAGCTGATGTGGGAGGAGCATGGGATGAGACCGGCAAGGAAGTCCAAGTAATGAGTCTCAGTTTCAGCCCAGAGAACTAAAATCTGAGAGAGAGTACCTCGTCCTCACAGTTGGCTGAGCCAATGGCTGAGGCCAAGCCTCTTACTGTGGTAGGTTTTTGTTTGTCTATTTTCATGTTCCCAATGTCCAGATCCTCTTGGCTCTGCTGTTGCCTCGGAGAGCCATCCAGTGGTTTCTGACGATAAGATTTCAGACTCTGCAGACACGGACTTTAGAAGGTCTACTTTCTCTCTTTTTTGAACCACCAGATCTTCTGGGAGCTAGGATTGGGAACTTGGCTTAGTTAACTCTTTTTGTTTGTTGGTAAAGCTTGTTCTTTGACAATTTCGTATTCATGTACGTACCTGGTTACTCTCCTGTGGGCTCTCTCTTATCCCCACCCTCACCTCTTCCAGCTACCCCTCCCCCTTCCACAGACCTCTTTCCCCGTATTCACGAGTTTGGTTTCCTTTAGTGTCCCATAGAGGTCATCTGGGGCTGTCTGTGTGTCCAGTGGGCTCACCAGGGTTTATCAGCTGGGCAGAGTTGCTCTTGAAAAAGCAGCTTCAGAGCCCAGGATAACTGAGGGCTTCCATCGCCCCCCCCCATCCACCCCCCCCACTGCCACCTTTTTCAGTATTTGGTGGTATAGTACAATGAAGAGACACTTACCTGTGTTTTCGCAGCCACTTAGGAAAATCCCAGAATGCTTTCTGGACCTCTGTTTACTCATCTGTGAATGAGAAAACGAACCAGATGATGGAATGACCAGAGGCCCCTCCCATCCACGGGAGATGAACTAGAAATGTCAGGCACAACCAGTCTGTCTTCAAGACAGCCTGATCCTGTAATGCTGGCAACCTCTTCTCCAGGCTCTGAAGATAGAGTACTTGTGCCATACACCAGTGTCGAATTTTGAGGTGGTGTTTGTTTGCTTATTTGTTTGTTTGGAGGATGGCTCCTAGGGACCTCAATGATTCGGGGTAAATGTTCTAATACTGAGCAAATGAGCAACATTCCCAGACCTAAAAGGTTTGTGTTGGTTAGGTTTTTTTTTTTTTTTTTCTTGAGGAAAAGACATTACTACAGCTCAGACCTAAATAAATAATCACATTTCCTCACATGCGTACATTCACTTGGGACAAGCTTCTGGTCATTCATCACACAAACAGTAACCTGGGGGAGGCAGGGGGTGGGTATCACGTGTGTCTGAACCTTAGCGCTTAGGAGGTGTAGGGAAAAGGATTTAGAGGTCAAGACCTCCTTTCAATGCCAAGGATGCCCGCATGAGATCTGCCTCGGAAAGGAAAGAAACGATGCTTCTCGGCCCTTTGGCTAAGAACAAGTGTAGTGTCTGCTTTTATCAGTTTAATATCTGATATGTCCTCTATCCGAGGACAATTTATTAAATGGATTTTTGGAGCTGGGACCTGGGATGGAAGCTTACCGCCCACTCCACAAACTGACCTTGTATTGCAGTACCTCCAGGGTCAGTGCGGGGAAGAAATAAAGAGAGTTTTCTTGTCAGACACATGGTACTCGTTGACTCCTATCCTAAGCCTATGCTCATGAGATGTTTTTTTAGGACCCTCCAGAGTTAGATAGAGCTCTGTGAGTTCCAGGTCAAAGAGTTCTGGGTCAGGAAGAGCTAGATAGTGGGACCCTGTCTCAGAGGGGAGGAGGGGCTGCTCAAACATGAGGACCCTTTCTGCAGTCACCTCCCCCCACAGAAGCCACATAAAAGCTTTTGTAATGCCATCAGGAGACAGGCAGGTCTAGTCAGCCGGCTTCTCTGACCAAACTGGAAGCTCAGGTTCAGTGCGAGACTGGCTCAAAAAATAAGAGGGGAAATGATCAAGAAAGACAGCCAAGGTGGACCTCTGGCCTCCACTTGCACATAGGTGGACACAAGCATGCACGCATGCGCACACGCACACCAGGGTGTTCACGAACACACTAAAAAAAGAAGAAGAAAAAACACTTAAAGGGGAAACTCCTTGGATCGTTTAGCTAAACCAACTGTTGTGCTAGAAAACGGTGGAATCACGGGAGGGAAAACAGGACGTCCCCTGTGGCAGGCATCATATGGAATGCAGCATCAGGAGCCCAGGCTACTGTCCCCTCCCTCTCTTCTCTCTCCCCCCTTTTCTCTCCAAGGCACCATTTTCTAAAAAGCTCCTGCCGCCAGGGAAATGGCACCGAGTGGGCTGTGATGAATGAGTCACCCCCTTTAATCCTTGCTGAGAGTGAGCACACCACTCACACACCAGCCCTTGCTGCCCTGGCCTCTTGAACCATGAGGGCAAAGGGCAAACCGAGCCCTCAGGTTAGCTGACCCTTTTTCTCGCAGGGGCAGTGTGTTTCATCCACATCAAGACGATTTTTTTTTTCCAAATGACAAGGCGAACTTGCCTCTAGCGTCCTAACCTGAATCCTGTCCTGTTATGCGTGATGTTTGCCCATGCTTTAGGTCAGGCTAGCCTCGAATAGTTGGCCCGGAGTAGAGGGTGGATTTCTCTCCCACAAGGAGGAAAGACATTACTTGCTTCTGACTTTTCCTTTTTCCTGGTTTTCATTTGTTCCCCCTTTGGGAGCAGGATTCACCACATCTTTTGAAAAAAAAATTATGCATTACGTTACTAACGAAAGTTCCCATGTTGAAAAGATCATTAAAAAAAAAAGATTTTTGTCACTGGTGGTAAACATGTAAGTGAGGTTTTGACACTTCTGCAGGCACCATCAGCTTTCTCTGTGAAGAGCTGGGATGAAAAACTCACCTACTTTGGGTAGCGGAGGAGCAGGAAGCAGTTTAACCCCTGTTAAAGGGTAGCAAGCCTCCTTTCTCCCCCCCCCATGCCCCCGGTTCTGTATGCATTATGGTGTCTACACATTTAAAAGATGTTGGGAACCTCCAGAGAAGCCCTTTGACTCAGGAAGGAGTCAAAACCGTGAGGAGACACAGCTAGACAGAGCAGGGCCAGACCCAACTCTGCGTGGTGCTGCAGTCTGGGGTGGCCCTCTTTCTCCAGGAAGTCACTAGAGCAGCTCATGGCACCTGTGCTGAGGGAGCTTTGGGTAGCCAGAAGTTTGGTCCCTGAGAGCTGGTGGCAGGGAAACCCCGCAGGCTGTTGTTCTGTGTCCAGAGTATGTCCCCTTGAGAAAAGAGCTGTCGTGGCCTGTGGTTCCTTGTGGACAGATGACATCAAGCAGCATGTCTTATGGGAAGCACACATATGAAATCACACTCTGACATCACAGACGACAGAGACCCCTGCAGCAACACAAGGCAGTCTCCAGCTCAGCCCCCTGCCTGTCCCACCCCGAGTGTTTGCTCTCTCCCCATTCTGGCTGCTGCCTGACTCCTGGCTCCCAGAGTGAATGTTAGTAAAATTCCAGTTTCTCTTAGGTTAAGATTAGCATCCCCACAAACGCAGGGCACCCCACTTTCCTTGCTTGTCTCCCTGCCCTTCCTTCCTTCCTTCCTTCCTTCCTTCCTTCCTTCCTTCCTTCCTTCTTTCCTTCCTTCCTTCCTTCCTTCCTTCCTTCTTTCCTTCCTTCCTTCCTTCTTTTTTCCTTTTTTCCATGCCTGCAGGAAAGTGAGTAAGAATACTTATGAGCTATAACAGGAGGCAACAGGAGACAGACTAAAGTGACCTGAGAAACCTCAAGACTCAAATAAAGTCCATGTGTTTCCACTCCCAGACACTGACTGTAATGTTGTGTTTGCAGTGTTTTTCTGGAATTCAAATCCTGTTTGCCTTCCTCTTTAGATGATAAAACCCCTTTAAGTTGCTCCTCAGTAGAGTGAAATCTAAGACTTGCCTCTCCTACTCCAGCAATGCAGCCCACCCAGCCTCCATGAGCTGTGCCTTCTCCAGGCTTCTCTGGACGCTTTCCCACTCCTGTGCAGCGCTTTCCACATTCTGGGTCTGGATGTCCTCCCTCCTCCCGCATCCCTGTCGCTGGTCCTCCTTGTGCCCATTCCTGCTCTGCACAGTGCAGAGTTCTACCTCTTGCTGTGGCTGCCTCCACCACCACCTCTGACTCCCAGGACACCAGGAAGGATAGATTCCTATGTGCCCATGCTATGTAGCACATCTTTGGAGTGTCTCACAGTTTCCTCTCCCCGTTCTCTTTTCTACAAAAATACTTGGTTCCTCCCTGAAGCCAGTGTGGAGGATGCTGCCTCGTAATCAAGTAATATCAATGCTGCATCTCACCTGTGGGACTGCAGTGATGGCTGTATGTCTCAGAGCATAAATAGCAACCACAGGAGTGCTGGTGTGTGCCAGGCGCTCTGTGAAGCACCGTGCAGACATCCCAACTCTGCATTATCGATGCTTCTTAATGTATGTGCTTATGATTGGGAGAAAAAAAAGAACAAAATGCCACCGTTGTTGCCACTAAATGCTCTCTGCCGTGCTGTGGGAACTATCCCAGCAGAGTATCTGTAGTCACTGCCTATGAAGGGCTGAGCCACCACGGGCAGGAAAGCCTCTAGCGTGTGCAGAGACATGACTCTTAGAATGTGCCCTGGTTCTCCATTCACCATGGACAACCTTGGAAAAGTGAAGCCTCTTGTCTGGGCTCTCAGTTCCTCGTCTGTCAGAGACGACAGTCCACCTTAAGAGCTTTTAACCGTGAAGGACCGATGAAGTGGGATAGTGAGCTAAGTCTCTAGCACGACACCCAGTACTGTAGGACCACAATAAACGTATTTATCCTTAGTATCTTATCTGTAAAGTGCTGTGTGGACTGGAAGAGAAGGGATTTGACCGTGGATCTTGTCCCTAGACCCTGAGGACAGGGCTCTAAGTTTACGTGCCCACTTTGTGATTCTAGGCTTCCAAGTTGACAATCAAAACCAGCAACCATGTCGTCCCCCCCATGGCATCCATGCCGGTGGGCAGCTGTCCATTTGAGAATTACCAAAATACAGGTGGAACACCTTTAAGAAGGTTCTTAAGGGAGGGGTGGCCCAACCTGGCAGGCTCGGCTTCTGCATTTAAGACACATTGTTGCCTTTTGTGTTTTCATCAGAAGAAAACCTCTGTTCCTCCTGAATCTGTTAAACATGAATCACCGAGAGGCGTGGTTCGAGGTGACTAGATCCGGACCCGAGGCTCTGAGCGGCCTTGGAAGCAGTTAAGCGCTTGTGGTTTGACTAACCTTTTTTATGAGTGTGTTACTCAAGAAACGTGAGCTATTGGCTTTTCGATTACTGTAGCCTACCTCTTCTGAGTTTCATACACATTGAGTCATCGGTCCGCAGGCAGGTGACAGATTGTCATCTGCAGTGATCAGGTTACGGTAACTGGGAGATGAGGGGATCTGATCAGGGCGAGCCCTGTGCGCGTGAAGATCTGAGTCGCTCGCTCGCCTCTCCACCTTGAACAATGGCCTGTGCTAACCACACAGCTCACCTCTTTCCATCCCCTCAGGAGCTTGTTTCCCCCCCTCCTGCTTTGCCTCTTTCCACTCAGCTGTTTGCTGAGAGGTGCTGTGGGTTGTGTGGATTGTGAATTCACCAGCGTGGGTAAGGAAAGCACAAAGCACACCCCTGGGAGAAAGGATGGAACAAAAGGGGGTGTGTCTACCCAGCCCTGGAATCCTTCCCAGAGCCTCTCTTGGACTTCTCCTGGTATTTAGGAAGTTTGACAGAGCCAGGCACACTGAGAAACCGTCGATGACCTTGGAAAGACTAAGGAACCAGATTTCATCAACCCTGCATCTTTTCCAGGGGAATGAGTGTGTGTGAACTCAGCGTTGCCTGTTCTTCACGTAACTGCTGCAGCCAGCCGTCATCAAGGGAGCTGGAAGTAAAATCACCACCGTTGGTTACTTTGGCAAACACATCCATTTCTGTCGTTTCCTAGTGAGCTGCCAAGTTAGGGCATTTTTCTTTTCTTTGTTTTCTTTTTCCTCTCAGACATTGGCTTAGAAAGTATCATGTCTGTAAGGTGGTGGGGATGCATGTGTGCAAAAGCATCTGCTGGACCAATCTCCTGGCTGGCCTTCCCGCCTCCAGCCTTGTTCCTGGCATGTCTCACACGTTGCTGTTACATGCACCACAGCCCCTTTTCCACAAAGGCATTTGGCATTTGCTGTGTGGTTGGTTATTCAGACTTTTCAGTCTATCATTTGGCCCTACTGTGTGTTTTCAAGGGCTCTCTGATTCGTTATGATACTCGGATTGGACCTGGGGCCTCATGCGTGCTAGACAAGCCCTCTACCATTGAACATATCCCCAGACCTGTTTTGACTTTTGGAGACAAAGATTCACAAAGTTGCCTGGGCTGACCTTGAACTCCCTCTGTAGCCCAGGCAGATCTTCAGCCTTATTCTCTTCCCTCGGCCTCACAAGTAATCGAGATCTTAGACCTAGCTCTTTCTTTTTGTTTTTTTCCCCAGATCTTTCTTTCCCACAATATGGGACAGCACACAGGACATTCATAGACTTTGATCCCCATGAAAAGAATACTAGGTCCAGTAAGATGGCTCAGTGGACTAGGGTACTTTGGTATCAAATTTGGCAACCAGTGTCCTAAACCGAGGTCTCACGTGGTAGAATGAGAGAAGAGATACCCACAAGTTGTCCTTTGACCTCAACAAGCATGCCACCAAGGAAGGAAGGAAGGAAGGAAGGAAGGAAGGAAGGAAGGAAGGAAGGAAGGAAGGGAGGAAGGAAGGACATGCTGGCATGTCCAGGTGTTGTGTAGGTACCTGGCACTGTCCTTACACTGACCCTGTGAGGGGTTACTGGGTTCATTTCACTCAAGGTCATGCAACCAGTAGCCACTGGAACCAGACTTAAACCGGCCCAAACTAGCCCAGGTGACTACAGCACATCTCTATCACCGAAGCACCCCAGTGTAGGGACAGATGTTGTAGTGTGAGACCACTGAAGTCTGAGAAACCCTTTATACAGCTCTCTCTTCCTGTACCTGTCCTTTCGGCCTTCATCTTCTCCCTCAGACGGAACAATCCAGATCCTGCCAGTTCATCAGGCCCTTCCTCAAGAGTTAGATTCCCTAGGACTGGAGAGGTGGCCTAGTGGTTAAGCGAATACTGGTTGTCCTTCCAGAGGACTTGGGTTCAGTTCCCAGCACCCACATGGCAGCTCACAACTATTTTTAATTCCAGTTCTAAGGGACCTACCACCCATGGCAAAATACCAACGTGCAGAGAGTAAATAATAAATAAAATTTTAAAAAAGAGTTAGATTTTTTTCCAAGAATTTGTTTCCTCTCCAGAGTCCTTCCAAAAGTTTTGCGTTCCCTTAATGTTGAAATATACAGTTGATACCAAACGGCCTCACTTTGCCTGTATGAGATCTTATAACACACCCCTTTTTGATTTTTTTCTATCCTGACTGCAGTTTCCCCTCCTTGCTCTCCTCCCAGGCCGTCCTTCATCCCAACCCCTATCCACTCCTCCTCCATTTCTCTTCAGAAAAGGGCAGGCCTCCCATGGATGTCATCCAGCCTCAGCATATCAAGGTGCAGTGAGACTCGGCACCTCCTCTCCTACTAAGACTACATGAGACAGCACAGGATAAAGGGTCCTGAGAGCACAGTTCCCTGCCTCTCTCTCTCTCTTTCCCTCTCTCTCTCTCTCTCTCTCTCTCTCTCTCTCTCTCTCTCTCTCACACACACACACACACACACACACACAAAACAAAAAAACAAAAAAAAAAAAAAACCCAAACAGAATATGAGGTCCTCGCCTGGTTCAAACCTCAAATGGGACGCTTAGAATACAATCACAAGCTCCATAGGTGGGCAGCCCTTCCGTGACATTCATACCATAGTCTGGCTCCAGTTTTAGGCCTAAGCATCTTGTTTCTGTCCTGCTAGAGTGGAGACCACTCAAGGATAGACACTGAGTCCCCATCCCTGTTTTCTCACCGTGCCATTTTCTTTCTTTCTTTCTTTCTTTCTTTCTTTCTTTCTTTCTTTCTTTCTTTCTTTCTTTCTTTTCTGAACCCTTTTCTGTGAGGCAGTGACAAGTTTGGAACCCTGGCGAGGCTAGGGAATGTTACAAAAGAGAAGGACCCAGCACTTCAAACCCCTCCAGGATTCAAAGTTAGCACAGCTCCTTAGAAACCACATTGGCATTGTCCCATCTCCCATACTGTAGCATTGGAGCCTGTCCTGGAACTAGCTCTCGTATACCAGACTGGCCTCGAACTCACAGAGATCCGCCTGCCTCTGCCTCCCTGGGATTAAATCCCTGGGAATGCTGGGATTAAAGGCGTGCACCACCACCGCCCCAGCTAAACCTCCTCCTCTTTCCTAAAGTGAAACACTTAGTGTGTTGCTGGCGGCTAACTCTATTTTCAGAGTTTCTCAGCAGTTTGGGTCCTAAGGATCCAGATGCATCTAGACTACATCTGTCATCTGTCAATCAAAGATTGGTACCAAGTGACAGGCGTGGTGACCTAACCCTCATCTCAGCACTTAGGAGACTGAGGTGGGAAGATAATTAGCTAAAGGGCAAACTGGGTGACACAGAGAGACCCTGCCTTAAAACAATGAGAAAACAGGCCTCTAAGCCCGGCAGTGGTGGCGCACACCTTTAGTCCCAGCCCTCAGGAGGCAGGGCCAGGTGGATCTCTGTGAATTCAAGGCCAACGGGGACAACACAGAGAAACCCTGCCTCAAAAAAAACAAAAAAAAAAAGAAAAAAAAAGAAAAAAAAAGGGGGGGAGAAGGAGAAAAAGAAAGAAAGTAACGGTAGACGTTTATAAAAAATCTCGTAGGGCTGGATGTGACTCATTGGTAGAGTATGCGCCTTGAATGTACAAAGCCCAAGCCGTATTCTCAGCATTTGTGAAGTGATGGCTAGAGGATCAAAGGTTCAAGGTTATCCTCAGCTATATATTGAGTTCAAGGCTAGCCTGGGATACAGAAAACCCTGTCTTTTTTTTAAAAAAAAAAAAAAGGAAATAAAATAAGTTAGGAGAGAGGCAAGCTGAAAGCCGCAAGCTACAAGCCACTGCAGCGCATCGCTGAGGCCCCTGCGCCTCGCTGTACCTAATATTTAACAGTACAGGCCGAGTAACAGTTTGGAAGGTGGCAGCACTCTGGAAGCGCACAGTGAAAGTGCAGAGGCCCCGGGTCCTGCCCAGTGGTAGCCCACCCACCCTCTCTGCCCCTTTCTTTCATCCATTGGCTTAATTTTGACAGTTGAAGCATGTTACTGGTGGATAGCACCCCCTAAGACTATCTCCCTGTGGAATGGAGCTCCCAGTGCCCCCGTGGCTGGCTGCCAGTGAGCAGCAGCCACAGCCTACCCTTTCTCTCTTGTGGAGGACCCCGCTCTCCGCTTCCTGCTCTTTCTGCGGTAACCTCTCCCCTCCCTTGTTCCAGGGGAGAAGCGGCACTGCTTTGACGTCAACTACAACCCCAGCTACGCCTATGAGAAGGAGACTGAGATGATGCAGACCCGAATGATGGACCAAGCCATCAACAGCGCCATCAGCTACCTTGGGGCTGAAGCCCTGCGCCCCTTAGTCCAGACGCCGCCCGCTCCCACCTCTGAGATGGTCCCAGTTATCAGCAGCATGTACCCTTTAGCTCTCACCCGGGCTGAAATGCCCAATGGGGCCCCCCAGGAGCTGGAAAAGAAAAGGATGCTCCTACCAGAGAAAAACTTGCCTTCTGAACGAGGTCTGTCCCCCAACAATAGTGCCCACGACTCTACAGACACTGACAGCAACCATGAGGATCGCCAGAATCACGGCTACCAGCAAAGCCACATGGTCCTTCCCCAGGCCCGCAACGGGATGCCACTTCTGAAGGAGGTCCCTCGCTCCTTTGAACTCCTGAAGCCCCCTCCCATCTGCCTGAGAGACTCCATCAAAGTGATCAGCAAAGGAGGGGAGGTGATGGATGTGTTCCGGTGTGACCACTGCCATGTCCTCTTCCTAGATTACGTAATGTTCACCATCCACATGGGCTGTCATGGCTTCCGTGACCCTTTCGAGTGTAACATGTGTGGCTACCGAAGCCACGATCGCTACGAATTCTCCTCTCACATTGCCAGAGGTGAACACAGAGCCATGTTGAAGTGAGTGAGCATCAGTCTCCGAGCTCACAATCTAAGGCCCAACGTTGTTGTTGTTGTTGTTGTTAAAAAAAAAAACTAATGATAGCCTTACCCAGGAAGCTGAACTCAAACCCACAGTCCTGCCCAGTTATGTTAGCGTTCAATCATATTCACACCAACAATTAGGGAAACACTGTCTTCATCCAGAAACAGTTTGCAGAGCCATCACGTTACTCTGTGAAACCTTCCTTTCCCATCAGTTGAATTTGATGGGATGTAAAAGCCAAAGAAGTATCTGGTTCATTATCTTTTGTAGCCATAGACAGCCATCCGCTGGCGCTCCTTGCCAATTGGAACAATCTTCAGTGGGCTGCAGGAGACATTCGCTGGGATATAGCAGCCATATGCGGAAAAGCCTTTTGATCCCATGCCCAGATCCACACAGTGGAAGAGCTGACCAGCTGCCCTTGCCCTTGGGCACTAGCACAGGGCAGAAGGGTTAGGACCTAACCTCCCCTCCTCCCAGTCTAACGGTAAGATAGGGACCGCCATAGAGTAAGGACCTGCTGCCAGGAATGGAAGAACCTACCCTCAGAGCTTTGATTCGCTTCCTGTCACACAAACAAACAAAACAGAAGCCATCTGAGGACCCTTCTGCTTCACCTGCCAGCTCTCTGGAAGAAAATTTTACCCAGAAGAACCAACCAACGCTTTTAAACACGGACACCCAGGGATTCGCCACTGAGGGACAGTGGTATTTGTTTTTGTTTTTGATTTGTTTTTTTTTTATTGAGATTGGCCAAGCAGGCTGGAGACATAGCTCAGTGGTACAGTGTTTGCCAAGTTCAACCCTCCCAGCACCAGGGGACAAAGAGGAAAGAAAAGGGGGAAAAAGAAAGATTGGCAGAGCAGAGTGTGTAAGGGCACGTGGGTTGTCACTGTCGTGGAGTACTGGGTGCAAACCCAAAGAACACCTGAAAGTGATTTTGCACACACACGTACACAGGGGACCCGGAACATGCCCTTTGCCTGCCCCACAGGAGTGAGAGCAGGAACACCGATGTTCTGATCAGGATGCTGCGAGGTTGCGTTAGAGATGGGTGACTTTTATTTCACTTTTAAACCTCATTGCCTAGATGGGGCCTCGAGCTCACCACTAGCTGAGGGTAGCCAGGACTCTGATCCTCCTGCCTCAGCCTGCTGAGTGCTGGGGTGAGAGATGATCACCGTCAGGGTGTTTGCCGCCACATTCCCCTGAGAGTCTCAGAAGTCTGTCTCGTGCTGTAGATGGACTCTGTCACTACACACACAGGCATCGAGACATCAAGGAAACCCGGAATAGAGGTCACAATGCGTGTGTGCCGAGCTCCTATCTGCTACTAATGAGTGTGTGCTTTTGTACAAATCATTTAACTCTAAAAGCTAAGCTTCCTCAACCATAAAATAAGAGTTGGATTTAGGCCTTCTTGATTGTCCCACCCGGCTTCGATACACGATTATTCCGTAACCACGGGTTATTTTTAAACCTCCCGATGTGTGGGCACTAGGCAGAAGGGTCCACACATGAAAATGTGTTTCATATCTCTTTGGTGTGAAAATATAAGTGTGTTAAGTTTTTCCTTCAGCCACTGAGTCATGGGCGTGAGGAGACCCTGAGGAGGAACAAAAAGAACAGGAAGGTGATTTGGTCTTGCCAAAGTGTGCACACAAACTGGCATCCGCAGCTGCTTGCCGGGGCCCTTTTCCTCCTTTCCTTTTTAAGAACTGGTCTTCGGGAAAATAAGTTCTGCTTACGGGGACAGTTCCACGGAGCCTGTTTACAAATGAAGAGCGAGCTTTATGAACATTTCTGCCAGAGCCAAGAATCCCGAGTTCCTGGTAGATTAGCATTTTCCTTCTAAAGAGCTTACGGATTCGGCTCTCGCTCAACTCCTTTATGCAATGCCAGCAATTAAAGCGTTCCACCTCAGACACACAAATGGCTTAGCCTGCTTTGTAGCACGGTGTCTGTCTCAGGGAACGGGGGTGGGGGGGCATGAAATTCCATGGCAACAGTTCCGTGTTGCCCGAGGCTTCAGTTAAAGGGCTGGGTGTCTTCAGCACACCGCTGTATCTTAGCAGAGTTGGATCTGAGCTGTGCCACGCTGTTTGTGCCCATTGTGAAAGAGGACCTGCCTAGTCTACGCTTGAGATGGTTCACATCCTGTTGACTTTGAGGGAGGAGGCCGATGGGAGGGAGGCAGGGAGGGAGTTGGAAAGCGGGGACTTAGAAGGAAAAGATGCAGAGATGGGCATTTCCACCAGAGTGCTGTTGAAGTCTGCTGTAGACACACACACACACACACACACACACACACACACACACATGCACACACGTATGCATTTTGTCATCTCAAGATGGTGAACTACTACTCTACCAGCCCAGAAGCCTCCACAGGTCAGGACGGACTTGCTGGATGGCTTCCATCTCCTGAGGCCACCTTCACAGAGCCTTGACCTTCACAAAACCGTTCTGAGCCTGAGCAGGAGCCCTCAACTCCTGCTGAAGTTTGAAGAGTGTAGCAGTTGAGCCTGGTGGGGTGCCGTGGTTAGTGGGTGGTTAGCACCGCCGGTGCATGTGTTCCTTGTGCTACCTAAGGGCCCCCCTTGATAGAGGTGGGGCTGAAGTGAGAAGGGTAGGGATTTGCATCCTCCATGGGTCTGTGAAGTCCTGGGGTAGCTTCAGCTTTCTCACACAGTCCCCCCCATCATGAGCTCTGTGGGTCTTTCCTTCCTTTCCCACCAGCCCTCTTAGACGCAGGCTCCAACCACACGCCCAAGGGGGCTGCAAACTGGGGACCAACCAAACCCACAAGAAGTTCCATTGCAGCCAAAGTGACAGAGTTGGGGTGAGGGTGGGAAGAAGGGTAGAGCTAGCTCTCCAAATGCTCTCGCCATGCTGAAGTGCTGCCCAGAACTCAGCAGAGGTATCCCCCCATCACCCCTCGGCATTACCACCAGAAGAGGGAAAACGCCACCGACCTTCATATGGCTTACATCACTCCCCCAGAGAAACAGTTCCCCCCCCCCAGCCCCGGGCACTGACAAGCCAGCTAGCCTTGTCTCTCCTGCTCATTCTCAGCCCTTCCTGACTTTGCTTCTGTATTCATCCATGACAAAATCCCTCCCCTTTTATGGACTAACCACTTTGGTTGGCCCATCCATATTCACAGCACCCTCCCCCCTCCAAGAAAATGGCCCCAGGTGTCTTTTGCAAAGGGATATTTTAAAACACAAAATCTTACTTAATTGAAATATTATGTAACTAACAAATGTCACATTGGCATAGAAGTTTTCCAAGGAGATGCGTATCACTATTCTCCTCGGCTTCTTTGTCCCCCTTACTAAATAAAAGTGAAGACTTAGTAAGGGGACAAACCTTACTGCCAGGCTAGGGTGTAGCTCAGTGCAAGAATACTTCTTGCCTAGTGCTAGCATGCGAGCCCTGGTTTCTAAGCCCAGCTGGAAGAGAAAGAGATCGACAGACAGACAGACAGACAGATGGAAAATTATACTTTTGAAACATACCCCAGGGCAGGCAGGAAGACCACAGGGATAAAGGTGGTCCATGATCCTCACTGTAAAGTTCCCTCCACTGAAAAACATGCTGGCCTTAGTGAGGCCTGGGAAACTGAGACAATTCAGACTTGTAAAAAAAAAATGCTTGGACATCTTTGAGGTTTGAGCATGCAGGAGCCTTGAATTAAGACTTCTGCACTCAGGAAGGAAAAAGAGTGGAGAGAGGTTTTATTTTTTCTGTTTTTGTTTTTGTTTTTTCTTTGGTCTAAAAATCATCACCTCAGCAGAAAATGAACCATATATACTGTCATGTTTTAAAGGGTAAAGATGCTATTTTATACAGAAGGCTGTTCAGGAAACCTCAGCAGTGTTCTGGGCAAAAAGATGGGGAAGTCTACATTCTTCATATGAAACCAAAGGCTGAACCCTGGCTACTCTAGGACTGTTTTCTAAGAAGGACCATTCATGGGAATAATAAGTGTGTACAGAGATGGGACCACTGGTTCTAAAGACGGTGGACTTGGAAGGGCCTGGAAGATGGGTGTGGGCTTTGACCTAGGGTGAGCTTAAGACCGCATCTGTCTTACCCAAGCTGTAACCTCCATCACCCACCAAGCCATCGATAAGCTCAACAGGTCTTTGCCCTTTGAAGAAGCTGGAAGTGTTGTTCCCTCTAAACATTCCAACTGTGGACTGTCTTATCCACTGATACCATATGACCTGTTACCTGAAATTGGAACGTTAATGTTTTGATTAAATATGTAAAGTCATAATGATGTCTACCTTCCAAGGTGTAGTGAGGTTTGCTGTAGTCTTGTCTAGAGAGGAAAGCTGCTTTGGGGGAGGGGTGTTAAACTGTCCAGTGAGAAATGTTCTGCTGTGAATCCTGTGTCTGCTAAGAAGGGCATGAACGGATAGGCCAAGAGCACACGAGGGCCAGTGCCGCTGCAGAGGAGAGGCCACTAAGGTCTAAGAGTTTCTTTGTCCTTATGCTGCATAAGGTTAGAGAATGTGCTGGCCCCCGGGAGCACACAGAACACTCCATGGTCTTTCACCAGGACAGCTTTGCTCCCTCCCTGTCTGTAAGATCACAGCCATTGGCCCTCAGAGTCTTAGAATTTCCCATGCAGTCCTCACCCTCTATCACTCCAGTGAGCACATTCCCGAGGGCACAGAGAGGAGCCCCACTGGACTCCCCAACTTGGTTTCTTTGCCTCCCCCAAAAGGCACACACACGCTAACATGGTAGGGAAACGGAGCAGTCTCTTAATATGATTGATGTGGCTGTCAGTGACTCATCGGTGAGGACTTTTCCAAGCCAGCAGGCCAGGCTCTTCCTGGTGGCTCTGCCTCTGTGGATTCACGGAAACCAAATTACTGTGGGTTGCAAAGAATTAGCAGGTCATTTTAAAAGCAGACATGTCTTCACCCAGACTGTGGTTTCGTGTGCTCGGGTTCTCAGTCTGTGAGCACCGGGGATGATCATTTTGGCTACTGGAAAAAACCATAGCTTATTTTTAATTTCTGGTTGTCAAAGCCACCACACGTGTGGTCTGTGGATGACCCTTGTCTGCAGAGTGAAGGAGGAACAAAAGGTGCTTTGGGGCTCAGGGAACCCTCAGCCAGAAGTTACCACAAGGCCTGTGCTATTGGCCGTGCCCCCTTGCCTGTGTTTCTCAGAAACATCCCCTGCCAGTAGTGTCTCATTTCCCTTCCCTGGAGTTTCACCTGAATCCCACCATTGGGAGTATTCATTGTACAGTAACTCGGCACTCTATAAACTCTGTCCAAAGTTCATTTTGAGTGAACCGCGCTAACCTCGCCAGAACATAAGGAATGCCTCTCCTGTATGAAACAGCTTGCTGATACTGTCAAGTTTTCTCTATTGTGTTTGATTTTTATCCTGATAAGTAAATAAATAAATAAAGTCCTGGTGTGTTTAAAATTAGTGCCGTAGCGATTCTTACCACTTGTCAAGGCTGCCGTCAGAAGACGGAGGGATTTCATTCTGTCTCGGGGAATATTTCCATAACTTTGTCTCGGCTTTTTCTTAAAGCCAAAGTATCAAAATCGGTGGAAATAAGTCAGGCGGTGGTGGCGCACGCCTTTAATCCCAGCACTCGGGAGGCAGAGGCAGATGGATCTCTGTGAGTTCGAGGCCAGCCTGGTCTACAGAGCAAGTTCCAGGACAGGCACCAAAGCTACAGAGAAACCCTGTCCCGTCTCGAAAAACCAAACCAAACCAAATAATAATAATAATAATAATAATAATAATAATAATAATAATAATCATCTGTGGAATTGCCACAGGAGTCAGGTACATTCTCTCCCTGTCACACGGCTGAGCCTACCTATCTACCTATGGCGCCCTGCTGGTCCCCGAGGACACAGCAGAGTTCTGAGTGCACACATCCTATCCCTGGGGATTCCAGCAGACAGGAATCTGGACACA